AAAAGTGTAAAAAATCGACATTTTTACGACGAAAACAACGTATTTCACCAAATTAATGGGCAATACACTGGAAACATAAATATCATTAAATCCTAGGGTAACAAATATAACGTAACGCATTAAACTTAATTATTAGCATAATTAAACATAATTAGCTCAACTGGTACTAATAAAAGTTTAATTGGTTACGTGGCGTCCGTCAAAATTGTAAATTTAACCTAACATCTTCATCAACTCGTAGCTTGATCTTCTTTGCTGAGTTGATTTCCTGTAAAGTAAGCGTGTTAGTTATCAGCTGAAACACTGCTGCTACATTACATAGTAGGGTTGAGTACTACAGGTAATTTACTTAGCCATTATTTCATCAGGATTACTAACTTGTAAACCGGAAAAAAGGATACCTCCTGACAAGAGCAACGAAATTTCCGCAAAGAAACTAACGGATTACGTTTGATTATGGGCGGTAAATACGTTGCCTTTTAAAGCCTGCAGCAAAGTGTGCTTTTCGAAATGAGGTACAATTAAAAAAATTCCAGCACATAACATAAATAAACAATTAAACAAAACAATTAAACAATTAAACAAATAAAAAAATAAAATAAATAAGCAGTGAACTCAGCTGGTACGTACAGAAGAAGCGCCTTACATTATCCCCGTCCCTATTCCTGTCATTCCTGTCATTCCTGTCACCGTTTCCCTTGTTGTTTTGCAGTCCGAACCCCCCGAGGACCCCCTGGGTGGATGATCCCCCGGATCTAGAGCCCCCCATAGAACATTGGTGCTGCTTCAACGTTTGCTCCAGTTTGATACGCTCCTGTTTTAGTTTCTCTATCTCTCGTTCCATGTGACTGTTATGCTGGGTCACTATATCATACTCCTGTAATAGAGGGGTTAGAGGTCGGGTTAGAGGTCGGGTTAGAGGTCGGGTAATAGAGGGGTTAGAGGTCGGGTTAGAGGTCGGGTTAGAGGTCGGGTAATAGAGGGGTTAGAGGTCGGGTTAGAGGTCGGGTTAGAGGTCGGGTAATAGAGGGGTTAGAGGTCGGGTTAGAGGTCGGGTTAGAGGCCGGGGTTAGAGGTCGGGTACTTATGATGTAAGGTGAGTTTAGAGGGGTTAGAGGTCGGGTACTTATGATGTAAGGTGAGTTTGACAGCTGTCTCTAAAGTTGTTGTTAAATAAGGTGTCCAATTTAATTTGGGACAGTCTATTTTCAGTCTCTGTTTTGTTAAACTGACTCTGTCATAGTGACACAATACAAGATACATGATAAAACATCTTAAATCATCCTCAGCTCCACGCTTGATATATATGGTCATCACAACAACAATAACACCCTAAAACTTGACCATCCCCAACATTAACACCACCTGATTAAAACCATCAGATAATCGTATTAAAATGGGCAGGGCGGGCTTTGTAATAGGTGAGGAGGAGTACATTAAAGTTGATTATATAATTCCTTCTGCCAGAGCATTACATCATGCCTTAGTATTGGTCTGACAGTGGAGGGAGGAGACATACAGTTCCGAATAAAACTATATCTAATGAAGTCCTGGTACGACCCGCCTCCTTACCGTACTTACTAAATGGTATATAAATGGAGCTGGGGCTGAGTGGGTTGTCGCGACACCCAGCCTGAACAGTTCAGACACAGGCATGAGGGCTACTACAGGGATTGTGGAGATTGGAGACATTGTAACTTTGTTTACAGAGAGGCCGAGAGGGTCACAAACCACGGCTACCCTGAAAACCGGACCAGTAAAATGTTTACAGGTCTAGGGCTGATCCTAGACCCGGTCACGGTGCGATTCTCCGACTATATTTCAGGTCTGCAGACTTTTGTTACCCGGCTGCACCTTCGATAATTCATTAACGTCGGGCGGAGTTAAAAACGAGGGAACAACAAAGCTGTCCTTGAAGTTGCATCACTTTTTATTAAGAAGCTAAGTTTAGCGGGGAAGTTGATGATGTAAACGAGGGCTGAGTAGGAAATTAGTGGGTGTACCACCCTGGGTAAAGTTATAGGGGGGAGCAGACAAACACAACATGAGCACAAATACCCACCAGACAAGCACACATCACCCTGGTGTCTTGGTGTCAGGGATCACGTCATCTTCTGTAAAAAGAGAAGAGAGGAGGGGTTCAGTAAAGTGGCTGGGTTATCTAGAGGAGCAAGGTAGAGGATAGGGTAGTGACCGAGATTTCTGTGTTTAAACTCACAGTCTTCATGGCTGCAAACATTTAGATCACATGGATTCCTTACGAGGGTGAGACGAAAAAGACACTTAAGAAATGAGAAGCAGTGGGAGATCAGGGGGGGGGGGGGGAGGAGTGGGATGTGACACTGAGGGGGAAGAGGGAGATGTGAAGGAGTAATAGAAACATGAGCTGAAACAATTTTGACTAACTCACAGCATGAAAGTTTTTAATGGCTATGTCGCGGGAGAATACTTGATTATTATAGATGGATGATTTTTGTTTCCTATACCATCAATCTGAAGTCATTCAAAGTTAAACATTGCTGGTCAATTTAGACCCGGCCTGTGGCTTTGAGTTTTCAAAACCACCACAAACTCTACAAAAAGTTTCCGTCTTATATTTGTTGTGGTTAAAAATGGTCAAAGATATAATTTGTCCTCTATAGAAAATTAGCGTTAAAAGACGAGCAACCTTGTAACATAAAGGGTGACATGACCACTTTGTAAATATCTCTGACCTCAACAATTGATCAGACGATTGTAGGCCGCACTTCCGAACTTCAATTTTACACCAGCCATTGAGAACGGGTTTTTTCTTTGAATTTTTTCTAGTTTCTCACAAACGTTTAACTATGACCACATCAAAGACAATTTGATCCGGCCTATTTTCTTTGTACTTTCGAAAGAAATTCATCTGAAGACACGCGTAGACTTTGCACGCCCGCGTAAACTTCAGTTGATGTCGTAAACTTAAATCATCCATGTTGAAAAATCAGCGTTAAAATGTACTGTGAAGGGAAGGATGAGATGAACTGTGACCTTGCCCAGGGGCGGACAAAGGGGATTACATGAGAAATTGAGCCAAAGTTCAGACTTCTGGTAAACTTGCTGTAATAGTCTTCACAGCAAGACGTGAAAATAAAATGGTCGACAGTTTTTATTTTCCTCATACTAAGACATTTGCCAAGTTTGAGACTGGATAAAACTAAATACTTCAAGCCCCTCCAAATAGCGTCCAAAACATAACTGGCGACTTCAGCTGACAAATTGAAGCTAGTTACCAGTAAAACTGCGTCTCCCGGCTGGGTGTCATGAAAAACTGTAAACTAAAAACAATACCCAAATTTCTCATTTTACCAGTGCCCTTAAAATCTAATAAAGAAACTTCAAAGTGGACAAAAGAGGTCAAATCGCTGAGAGACAAACCTTCTTGACGTTTGTGACCTGCTCTCGTTTCTTGTTTCTGCACTTGCTGGCCGCTAGTTTGTTCTTCTCTCTCCGTGTTTTGCGTTTCTCCTCCTCTTCAGGCGTTAACTGAGAGTGGTGTAAGTTAGAGGCGAACTGTTACCCCTTATAATTAAAACACCCATTAAAATATAAAGATAAAAACGGAAAGATCGGCTTAGAACTTGGAGATTAATTGTAGGGGGGCTTTGTATTTTTCATGTAAATTTGTCGAAAGGATCCACAAAATAAAAGAGAGGAAAAAGAAAATTAACCTTCATGGCGCTCGAAAGTTAATAAACGGTCAATGTAAATATCAGCAATGTAAATATATATATATACTGCCCCCAAAAGATTAGCAACACGGTCGGAATTTGGGGTAAAAATTAGGTATAAAGGATAAAAGCGGAGGCGCGGTAAATTGGATATCTCTTATTTCGGCGATTACCTTTTATTTCGGCGATTACTGCATCTCGTGAATGTAATGACTTTATTGGGAATGGGACAGAGTACATTAATGAGAAGATTGGTTAAAAGTGGCGCCTGAATCCTTGATAATGGGCGATATAAAACATTTGTAGGGTGGTAATTTTAAGGTCCGTGCAAAATTAATGTATGTATTCTTAATATCGGTAAAATGTCATTCTAGATATGCGCACCTTTAGACTTTAGTGAAAGTAATTTGAATGGCTTTCACACTTCACGGTGACTATGACAAAGTTACGAAGGTAAAGTTAAAAGATAGAGTCTTTCAGCTGTCTCTAATGAGGGTAAAGAAATGCCATGTTTCTATTTAGCGGATTCAATAATTATGTTAGTGAGACACTGTGAAGATAAGAAATACCAATGACAAATGACGTCGATATTTTTCATAATAGCGACTATGTGATTTGCCAGTGGTGGCTGGTTTTAGGTTAGGGCACTTAAATTTAAGATTCTAAAATCAAAATATGCCGCTTAAACACTAGCCAGGCCAGAATAATTCTGTAACATCTCAACTATAGGTACAAAAAGAACATTTAAATGGTGTTAAACGAATTATCTGTCGACCGAAAGCGATTCCTACTCGACATTTTCGTTAAAAAAAAGAAAAATTCAGCACACTGGTACAACGGTTCTGTATTAAATTTACGAATCGGGATAATCTTAACATTTCGAGGAGACTCAATGTTTTACAAATAGTTAGTGCATGTGGTAGAAAGCGAAATACCTGGCAAAGTTCCAAATTTTTTACAAACTATATGCTAGAAAATTACAACATATTTACAACTCATATAATAAGCAGTAGTTACGTAAAACATTATTTAACTTATACACCCCACATACCCTATACAGTATACAGTGTATTCGCCACATACCCCACATAACACACATACCACACATACCTTGAACTGGATGTTGCGGGGAGCCAGGTCCTCTTGGCTGATAATAGGGTTATGTGAGAGGGCCCTTCTGGCGTGGATGGCATGTCTCAGACCCTCCTTCACGTAGGAGTGGTTGATGGAGCTGCTGCTACTGCTGCTCCGGCTTCCACCGCCTCCAAGGTTCAGGGACCCGTGATGGGGTGCTGTGAACCCGTCCCGACTGTTATTGTGGGGCAATAATCCCGACAGCTGAAAAACGGGGACCGTTAGAACTTAGGGGTAATGTTATTTAAATAAGAATAGGGGACGGCTGAAGATAAAAGTGAACTTCATTTCGTTCTATAAGAATGAAGTTTAGGTAGTTAACAACAAAACTATTCTACGGATTTGAGTTAATCTTTCAGGTATTTTGCATTTCATACAGGTCGGACTCCTCTACCGAACCAACATTGACTTAATATACCTTCTGGTAAAAGCCGCAAAACCCATAGCTCAGACCTAACGGGCAGTGGTAAAAACAGTTTCTAGAATGAAACATTCAAAAACGGGCATTAACTAAGAACGAACAGTGGCTCCACACTCCACATGAATAGTAAGCTTTGCTTTACTCAGCCGTATTCAATGACACACCTTCTGGAATCTAGAGGACATAGGAGCCCATAACATGGTAATGTTTTCAAAATAACGTCTATGAATTATTCCTCAGGACCAATCTATTATTGGTCCGTTTGAAACTCAGCAGCATTGATTGGTCCAAAATTTTGTTTGTATTGGATATACCTACCACATCAAATTGCTAGAATTATGAAAAGGTATAAAATGGGGGGTTGAATTGGACGAACAGCCCTGTTAGTATAGGTGACATATGATCAAGTTATACTCAGTTTCTGATTTAATTAATTCTCCCACTGATGACCTACTATATTAATATTATGGGGCCGGATATAAGAGGTTTCCAAATATCCCTGCACCAGTCCAACATTTGTAATATTAATTGTATTTCATTGAATTGATCTAATTTAGAGGATATTCCGACTGAACAGGGAGGACATAAGCGGTCGGTAAAACCAATCGTTCCTCGGGGCTGATAACTGATTAATGGAGAAGTGGAGAGGGTTATAAAACCGACAAGTAACCACAGGAGGCTTAGTACTCAAGGCAGGCTGACTTAGCATCTTACTTGCTGACCTGTTCAACTCCTGCTACCAACCCTAACCTATCACTTTACTGAACACTTTCTCACTGCTTCTCAACGATATCGTGCAAACCTCAGTGACTAAAAACCGATAGCCGAAAGTTGTAAACCTCAGTCATGGAGATGGATAAAACAAATTGCATGAAGGCGCAATTGCATGCTGATGAAAGCACAATTTCGTAAAATGTAAATCGGAAACCGCCGATAGAATCCGGAAAACCACTGGCAGAATTCGGAAAACCACTAACGGAAAGCGGGAAACCACTAGCACAAAAACGCAGGAAACAGAACCACCGGACTCACCTTACTATTAGAATGCATGTTGATACTGTAGAGGTTGACAAGCTAGTTCTAAAACCACGAAGGGGCGGCTAGGACCATAGTGTTAAGATAATTTGAAGTGCGTACTGATGACCGGAAAGGGGCTCGAGACTAACAAGCACCACTACATGAGCTAGTGACACCTCGTCTGTGACTTGCTCCAGCGTTACCCATCCAACATATTTATATGTATCCCAATCGCCCCCACCAAACGCATATCTTTAACGAGCAAAATGGCGGGAAACGTAGGAGCAGCCAATGAGAGAGCGGGAAGGATGTCACGTGGTACGTGAGAAAGAGTTGGCACGTGACACGGAATTGTAACTACCACACGCCCGTCTCCCTAGACCGGGCTCTCTTATCGAAACCTCACCCGATACAAAGGACATGAGCCTGAGGGCTGGTAACTACCGGCTATTTTGGGATCTGATTGAGTCAAATGATGTAACGGTGGTATCGAAACCAATCTGTTGGGCTATAGCTATTGATAGAACTCTGTATTCATTGAGGGGCTTCCAAATAGCTTCCGCGTTGGTCAGCTCAAACCTTTTCATTGGCTAACTCCTGTCTTATCGGGCAGAAATTTTAAAATTAGGGTTTCTTTTTTGCGTAAGAAAAACACAAAAATAATTAGCTGGTGCCGTCTAGTTGACAGTGTCAGGTCTCGTTAATACGCTGAGTTTTTACCCGTACTGTATGCTTACACAAACTACTTCCTACCCTAATAACTGCACGAATAATTGCTGCGATACGTAATGAATACCTCTGTTTGCAGATTCCAGATACTTGATATACCATGTTATACAATATAATTACAAAGCAGAATGACATCTAGTTGACTTACGGAGGGACTGGGGTTGTATCTCATCACGAAAGTCATAAAATATTATTTATGAAGGAGTTAAGCAGAGATAAAATTAACGAAGTTCTATGCGACTGCAAAACTGAATACTGATACACAAGTACAAGCGATTTTTGGGAGCTGCGGGAGCGACAATGTAAACTATTTGTGAAGGAGTAGCTGCAGCACTATTTATAGTGGCTGCACAAGAATAGCAACACCCCTGAGTCCTCCATGTCACCTGACCTGATCATCCAATGAGGAAAAGAGAAGGACAGAGTGAGCAGAGTGAGGGAGTTACTAGCTCAGATCCGGCAGCGATAAGGTCAGACGGTACATCTTACAGCGCTCTGCAGCTCAGCTGCCCAACTTCCACCCTGATAGTGACGACATCAAGATGACGCGCGCACGTGGGCACGTGACCCACGCACGTGGGACGCGTCATAGCTCGGGCCTAGGAAGCGGTCTGCAGATTGGCCGGTTACTGCTACCTGTGATGTAAGAGAAACGCACCTCGTGACCAGTTTGTGCTGGTGTCATATGACAGTGCTAATTGTCAAACAAACTCTGTGTTCTGAGTGTCTTGTTGTGTTACGTAACTTTGTCGTGTTGCTACGAGGTCCACTGACGGACCGGAAATCCGTCACGTGATCATCCCTTGTGATCAGCACGTGACCCTGATGGATTGACAGACGGACCACGTGATGGGGCAGGTTAAAGCGCACTTTACTGATGACGCCACGGTCTTGGTGTCTAGCACGGTGTGTCTGGAAACTGTGCTGCTTGTATTTCATGACATGAATGAGCTCATTAGGTGGTGTTTTGTCTGTCACAGTTGTTTGTACTGCATAACAATTACTCTGCACGCTGGCCAACACATGATTATACGACACGCGAGTTAGGATCTAGCACGCTTTTTAGAATTGCAAGCACAATTTACAATAAACTCGCTACGTTTACAAGTATCAATAGCGAGAGAGCGCGGATAATTACGTCAACACAAGTACAACTAACTGACCTTCATGATAACACTGTGGAGAGAGAGAAGTGGTTAGAGCCCGCACAAAACGGCTGTAGAGACGAGAAAAGGACGGTGCTGTCTGACCCTACTTCCCGTATACCGACCTTATTACATGTACTGCAGCATGACATAAACCGGATGCTAGCGGCCTGAAAAACGTTGCGTACCGATATCGGGAGCTAATTAAGAAGGAGAGACCTAAGGGTTACAATCCCGTGAACTGGGATGACAGGGTCCTGATGACACGGGATTATAGTTCACCCTCTGTCTAACTGTATTACCAGTAATATTACCCTCGCATATCTGACAAACACTTCACACGTGCTACTAGGATATCTCCCTGACAACCACACAGCACCACGTGCAAGATAAACACCACTTTCCCCTTGGCTGGAGACCCTCAATCTCACCTCAACTTTGTTCATGACACGTGAATGCTTGTCCTGTAAAATATCTCACGTGTAGTGCACTCTGTACCACACCCAGCCCTGAAAATATTCCAAACTTCAGTACAAGCTGACGTCAACATCAGGCCAGTATGCACCGTCCTAGGTACGGGATGTCGCCCTGGTAACGGGGATGTCGCCCTGACAGCGGTGTGTCGCTTTGGAAACCTGCCTATATCGGCATATAGCGCGGTACCATATCCACGGGGAAAGAGAGTACAATCTTGCAATACTGTCTGGGTAAAATCTTTCAATGTCTCATTTATATCCGATTAGAGGGACGATTAGAGGGACGCCCTTTTGGGGGTAACGATGTTACAGGCGAGGAGTATGTGCTATATTGGTTTCAGAGACAAATCTGCAAATCTTTAGATCGTAGAATTAACGTTTTGGCGCAAACCGGTCTACGGACTTTCCTCCCTTGTAAATATTTCTGATAATCAAATCCGAGCCCATACTTTCACGGCAGTTTACCCCGGGAACTGGACCTAAGGCAGGCACATTTCACCCTTGCCGGCACATGCCGACACATAGTGACGTGATTATGAGGGAAACCTATCCAGGACCTGAACCCTTACTCCTAGCTCTATAACACTGAGAACCCTTACTTCATACCATCATCTACATGTATTGCAGAGCTTGCAGAGAGAGAAGCCGTATTGCAGCCCCGTGAATACGTGACATACCTTTGTAGGGGATAGTATCTCGTACCAGAGATGATATCTCCTCTCAGAGAAGCTGCTGTGTGGTGACACGGTCTAGTATGTACTCAGTGAGCTGATCCTGGACAGAGATAAGCTCTTTATGGGGGTATCTATATTTGGTGGCACCAGAAATAGGACGCGTGCCGCTTTTGATGGGTCACGTGATGTTACTTTGTGCTAAGCAGGATTACCCTCACTCTCTCCCTCTCCCTTACAATGATTCCTCCCTGACAACCAGCTGCCATTGACACCGCCTTGCTCGGGATTCTCGCTAGACACACATGCTAGACAATTGTTGTAACTAATTCCGTCCTCGTCAAACCAAAGGTGTGATAATAACCATGAGACACACAATACTGAGGGCTCCTGGAGTGGCCCTGAGACCTCACTTACTCGGGGTTAGCTGGGAGATTGTAGCAACTGTAACTGAGGGGCTGGGCACCCCACACTTATCAGCACATCTCTTATCATGGGACTGTTACCTCTGTAACTAATTCCCTCTTGTTTATAAGATATGGGTTACAATCTAATTTCAGGTCCAGCCTCTGCCCGATAATCGGTTTACAATCTCTCAATTTGTCCGATTGAAGGACGCCCTGATGTGAGTGGTAGAGGGTTGAGACACAAGTGTCTCTAGTCCGACATGATCCTCCTCCGTTCAGACTTACTAGGTCCTGAACTTGGCGGGAGGAGTGCTGTCCACTAAAGTGATGGCTAAACACCAGACGACATGCCATTTATAACAATGGAATAGCCATTGGAAAAACCGAAATTCCTTTGATTGTGACAGTTAAAAAAATTTAGCCCTTGACCCAGCCGTGAAGTATTGGCATTAAAAAATAAAATATCAAGCCCTTTGTTTTTTCGACTAATGGAGATCGGTGAAGTAGTCACGTCCTTTGTTTTTTTCAACTCTTGTGATCTGTGAACTTAAAGTAATCTAATTATAATCGGCTACAGCTGTTATTTTCTATAGCACTCACATTCCCACCCTGTGCCAAGATCCCAGCTAATCCGTCAACAGAGATTAACAATAATTACTGATGGAGACAAAGCGAACGACTGTCGACTAAAGACAAATTACTAGGTGTCAGATGAAACACGTGGATCCTATTTCCCATGACAAAGCCTGAGATCAGGCTTCATCCGCAACAGTAAAGTGATCTAAGATTGAAATCATATTGTTACAAAAAAACGATTTCCTTGCTGGCAAAAAAAGCGTTTTTCACTGTATACTTACATGGCTCCAAAAGTAGTAATCAGCACAAATGATGTCCATCTCGTAACCTAATTAAAAACCTAAATCACCTAAAACACAGCAGAGCAGGACTCCCAACTCGAAATGACCTAGGACTGTATAGATAATGAACGAGTACACTGTAAACCATGATATAACACCATGTTAACTCATCACACCGGATAGCTTTCAGTTTCCGTTATCGCGAGTAATCGTTTCCGTGAGCGGGATTGTAAACACAAAACATCATGGTCAGCGTTTAACAGGACAGCTAGTGAATGGCTATGGTTTTAACAGAGTCTGGAGCTCACCTCAAATTACCACAACGAGAGAGCTCCACAGTCCACATGTTACTTGTTTAACAGTTTTGTGGGCGTGTGATCTCCGTGATTACTTTATTATATTATATTTATTATATAATGTCAGTGATTACTTTATATTGTATTTATATTAATTAGCGGTCACCAGCTGTATTGGACAATCTGTGTCAAGGTGTTACAGTAACAGGAAATAACAGGAAACTTTGTTTAAAATATGCACTATGCACGGTTGTCAACTCGTCAACCTGTCAACGGATCTTGTATTTCAAATATTCGAATATACCGGGAACTCAAAACTAAATTTCATTGCATTCCGCAGCGTAATGAGTGATAGCATTTACAGCGCACTGTGTACCTACAGGACGTGAAAATTAAGGTAGATACTCAGTAGCCGGAATAATTTTGTAAAGGTATAAAACTCAAATCTACTTACCGAGAAGTTGGACATTCTATCCGCAACAACCATCAAAGCAAATCGTAACTAAACCGCAAAAAATGTTAACTCCGTTCTAAGCGAGTTGGGGGACATTTAGCAGTTTTTACCGTTGATTACATTAGAGGAATAATGGGGACTTCAAAATAATGCTAATGAACGAGCACAACACTTCGGTCCAGATAACAATAAGAGGTATTTAAAGAGTTATTATTTGTCAATTAACAGTTTTATCACCATTTTTAAACGGTTTAAATCGGAACGAGTAACGTAATTAGGATTATTGGGATCCGATTGTTTCGATTGTTATAAAATGGAAGTAATCTGCAGATAAGGTTAGAAAATAGAATAATTACCGCATTTTATGACAATGGAATTATTATTTCGGCACACTAGGAGAATGGCTCAAGAAATACCATTGACGGAAATGATATTTTTAACTTTTAAATAATTTCATCGAACGTGACAACGAGTTTTGAGGGGATAATTTTCCCGATATTTGGTGTTTATTTACGAACAATTTAAACCTAAAACACTGCACACGGATACTTACAAAAGCACAAAAATGGACCGCAGGTAATTTTCTAACTCAGAAATGAAGTGTCATGCAGATTAGAAATACAAGGTATTTAAGGAGAAAACAAGACGAGGTACGTGCACAGCGCATTGTAACTGATCAGGTCGAACCTTCTAGCTGATGCCGGATGCGGAGCCGGGCTCACGTTCCGTTAAAATACACTTAGGTTAAAATCACTTTGATTCCCAGGTCCATTAATTAGTATTGATTTCAACCTTAATGTTAGTTTCGGTGGATAAAAACATAATGAACAAACGTGGGAACAGTACAATATTTGGAAAGGCCAGATTTTGTACGCACAACGGCTCACCGGATGCAAGATACTTCATCAGAATTCAGAAACGGAAATTGGTATTTGGTCCAGTCTCTGTTCATCGACCGGAGGAAGGCCGGAAGTTGAGTTGGAATCGAGAGAGGAACTCGAATAGAAGTTGGTCGGAGGAAAGGTGAGGTGCCCACCCTTTAGCCATGTTTCGTAGCATGCTGAACGTAACTGGGATGCCTGAGAAGAATGTAGATTGTTAACTATTTAGCTTAATATCTGCATTACATAATAGAATCTACTTACATTACCGCAAAGGAATTCAAGTTATTTAGCTTAATAAGTTAATAATGGTGTGATAATATGTTTATGTAAAAGGCGGCATGAAATAATGAAAGTGCATTATATTAGGTTTTTAATGCTTTATTGCTTGACATGCGTGAACAAAAGTGGGGCGGCATAGTTAAGTGATGAAAGAAGCTACGTTCCGCACTCCACACCCTCAAAGACAGGAGACTGATAATTTAGTACAATTATCAATAATTTAGTACAGTTGAATCATTAATTTAGTAGTATTAACTATAATTTAGTTTGGGTAGTTTAATCGAATGTCTGCAACGATGAAAATATTTTATCCGTAAAAGGAATTCATCACTTAGGCGGACGCTGGACAAGGACTAAATTTTAAAGAGTAACATTCCCCTGGGAGTGCCTGTGCAGCGCTCCCTGCACCAAATAATAAAACTTCGCAGAGACTTTATCCACTACGATATTCCAAACCCAAACACCTTCATCACCTAATCAGGTACTGACAAGTGGCGAGGTGAAAAGTTCCCCGCCCATACGTCCACCGATTCGAAAAACTGCTCGAACGGTTCCGGAAATTTCGAGAAACTGTTCAAACTGTTCCACAGATTTCGAGCACATCTTGTTATTGGAGAATTACGAACATTTCAACTGTTTTTAATTTCCATAATAGTCCCATAAAATCAAGAATATAATATAACTGAATTTACTATGACGCACGAAGTCGGTTACAATTTATAAAATAAAATTGATCTATACATTTATTTTATAAATAAAATTTATTTATACATTTATTTTATAAAATAAAGAAACGCACCTGAAAGTTCCGTGTCGGAAAACCACTTAGCAAGTTTGGCCTCCTGCTTTATTTCCATAATTCTCTTCCCCCGCCTCATTGTTTCAGCAGACTCTTCACACATCTCCTCTTTTTGTCGAGGTGTTTCAGCAGACTCTTCACACATCTCCTCTTTTTGTCGAGGTGTTTTAATAGTTTTATCAGCGGGATTGGGGAAGTGTTCCATTGCATCCGACACTCCAGAACTGGAATCACTTTTCCTCTCCATTTTCACAACACCAGGATGGTTGATGTGTTTACCTACTACTATCACGGGACGTTCTGAAAGTGGTTCAATTTATAACGACTTGTAAAGTTAGCTAAAAAGTGATATTTCGATAACAGTTAAGTTATAATTTACTGAGAATAAAATAAAGTGTTATAATGTAGAAGTATGAATAATATTATAGAGGTATGAATGAACCTGATTGGTTTCGGGAACCCTGCGGAATATCACGTGACAAGTTCGTTATCTGAGCGCTGATGTCTGACTGTGGAGCCGATGATTCGTTCACAATCTTCCTTCTTTTTGTGGTACCTTCCTCAACCTCTTCTTCTTCTTCTTCTTCCTCTAGTCGTCTTTTCTTATAGCGCGTACCATCTGCTCGGCTCTTATCGTTATCTAGTTCGATCTCCTGACTATTATCTGTATCCATGGCTTCCTCTTCTAGGATGTCACCCTTATCTAGGTTATCTCCTTCCGTTCCTTCGTTTTCTTGTATTTCTTTATTGTCTTGACTTAAATCGTTCATTTTCTGCTCTCCGCTCGTCTTCAAACTCCTGTCTTTCAAGACACGACAGACTTTAATCTTATCCGATACGGTCTGCTTATCTTTTACTTCTTCAGCTGCAGGTTGACTCTGAACAGTTCTCAAACTTTCCATTTCCCTAATCCAGCGTTCAAGCTTCTCCTTTTCTTCTTTCATTTCGTCGAGCTTCTTGTTTATTATGTCCTGTATCTTCTGAGATCCACGAGGAAGGGAGTTCCGAGACAGGGGCTGGGACTTCACGATCTCCAGGCGTTTTCTGAAATAAAAAATGTTATCGGGGGGGGGGGGGGGGGGGGGGGATTCCAAAGTTCTTTGGATAACAGTTAGATTCACATTTCGAATACACAAGCTCTAGATCTAATCTCTGTCAACGTAAGTTATTCCAATAATGAAGCATCAGTAGGAGCCAGTCACTTATTTGAACTTATAAAAAAAACACAAAATTATATTAAGTAAAACCAAGGTGGCGTATGAAGGATTAAGAGATATAATCTAACCTGTAAGCAGCTCTAAGAGTCTCACAAGTCAGGTCCGCATGAGGAGACAGTAACTGAGGTTGAGACTCGCTCTCCTCAGCAGTAAAGCACGGTATCTTTACAGGCATCTTAACTGGGTTCACCTCGTATACCAGCTGCTGGGACTCGACAAGATCCGCCACGGTTGGAAAGTCACAGTCTCCTAGTGCTCGCCTGCAGTCGTCCTGGGTACAGAGTTATGATTACCAAGGTGGAGGGCTGCTGCTGCTGCTTTATGTTTCTAGAAAAGTCCAGAATGTTCTAGTATAATATAATACATTTACCTTCCAGTACTTTGTCTGAATTGTGATATATATTAACACGTGTTAACACGTATTAACACGTGTTCTACTATACGTTATTTCTACTGGATTAATTGGAAACATGATGCTCTCGACACTCTATGTACTTTTTACATGACATTATATACTCACGGCTAAGGAAGGTTCCATTACTGATTCCGGGGGTTTGTTCACTATATCATCCTCCTGATGGTACTTGTAGTCATCCCTGCAAACAAGTTGATTTTAATTGAGAAGAAATTGAGGAAAAAATAGTTAGAAACATGAGAATGTGAACAAAGTAGTGTAATCTACAAAAATGCTAGGTAGATAATAAAACAAGCAAAAAATCATCAAGTTCAAGGATAAAGTTTTGACGAGGAAAAAACGAAAAAAATAAGCTCAAAAATACAACACTAAAAGCGCGATATTTTGTGTTCCAACAGTCTTCATGGAAGATACAACACTAAAAGCACGATATTTTGTGTTCCAACAGTCTTCATGGAAGATACAACACTAAAAGCACGATATTTTGTGTTCCAACAGTCTTCATGGAAGATACAACACTAAAAGCACGATATTTTGTGTTCCAACAGTCTTCATGGAAGATACAACACTAAAAGCACGATATTTTGTGTTCCAACAGTCTTCATGGAAGATACAACACTAAAAGCACGATATTTTGTGTTCCAACAGTCTTCATGGAAGATACAACACTAAAAGCACGATATTTTGTGTTCCAACAGTCTTCATGGAAGATACAACACTAAAAGCACGATATTTTGTGTTCCAACAGTCTTCATGGAAGATACAACACTAAAAGCACGATATTTTGTGTTCCAACAGTCTTCATGGAAGATGTTTACTGGGAAATGTTTTGTTTTCGAGTGTTGAGACAGTGTGAAGTATGTTGTCAGATTAAACAATATCTTTATTGTCTGTATATTGAGGGTTCTAGTGTCTGTAATCTTCAAAACATAGAATCTACAAATTATGAGACATATTTTGATTTCTTAATAGTGTTAGGCTCTTTATGGACATTTCTGGCATACCGACAGATCACAGGAGGAGACTGGTTTAGAGCTTCTAATTTATTTGATTATGATCCAAACAACAATCTTTGTACAGGGGGGGGTCCAAGGGGAACTTTGGGGAGTTTTGGGGAACTTTTTTTTGGGGAACTTCAGGAAACCTGGGGGACTTTCCCAAAGTTCCCCAAAAAATTATCAATGAAACAAATAATTTTGGGGAATTTTGGGGAACTTTTTTTGGGGAACTTCAGAAATTTCCCCAAAATTCCCCAAAGTTCCCCAAAGTTCCCCAAAGTTCCCCAAAAAAATTATCATGCCAAAAAAATTATCATGCTGCAAGTATCAACAAGTAAGTTAAGATTATACCTTATAATAACATACATGTTAACATTAATGGGTATTAATGTATATTAGAGAAATTTTGAATAATTTTGAATAATTTTGAATAATTTTGAATAATTTTGAATAATTTTGAATAATTTTGGGGAATTTTGGGGAACTTTGGGGAGTTTTGGGGAACTTTTTTTTGGGGAACTTCAGAAATCTTGGGGGACTTTCCCAAAGTTCCCCAAAGTTCCCCTTGGACCCCCCCCCCTGTACAATTATACACAGAGAGGGCCAAAATAAAGAACAAAAAGCAAAAGCAAGGAAAAAATAGATAAGAATAAACAAATGTCAAGAAAAAGAAAAAAACAGATAAGAATAAACAAATGACATACGTTTGATATAAGTGATGAGTGGTCAGGTTGCACGGATCACACAAAAGTAATGCTTCAAGGGGTATATCAGTCTTAAGATGTGTGATCGTCACGTGATACACCCTGTTATTCTTGTGATAGTCACGTGATACACCCTGTTATTCTTGAGCTACCTAATAAATAACAGCTATTTATTAATTATACTACTAACTTTTTATCGTCGTATCTGATGTCCCCATTAATATTAATCCCCTTCTTGTCCTCATCCTCCTCCTCTTCGTATCTCACTATGAAGGGAGGTGGCACACCTTCTCTTGAGTAAACAATGTTAATTGGGGTTATCACATCTATAGGGGACGTCATGGGGGACCCGTAATTAGGTATAGTCAAGCTTAGAGGATCCGTTACTGAAGTTGTAGGAGCAACTTCATTCTCATTAGTAGTTGTGTTTTCAGAAGGATTGCGTTTATGAGGTTCCAGGTGGTTAGAGACTGAGGGTGCAGTTGTGGGTGTTTCCAGTTTTGAACCTACAGGCTGGAGGTCGTGTAATTCCTCCCAGAACTCTGGGATAGGTTCAAATACCAGGGACTCTGGTGTTGCCTCCTCTTTCTCCTCCTCAGTCTTTATTGACTGTGAGGCTGCTACTTCTGGTTCAGAACAAGCACAAGAAGATAAGGCATTTGTTTCATCAGGATCCTCTTTCGGGGTAACATTAGGGGTGGTTTGGTTTGACATCGTCATAACTAAAACAGAAGCAGTGATTAATATTGATCTTATCATCAAATAATTATATTAAATACATCAAATGCAAATTAGCTGAATATAGGTTGTCAGGAAAAAATAGCAGCAATTGTGATTCAGTTTATATCCCAATGATTTGGCAATTGGCATTTGGCATGGATTTACAACAAAGCAAGTCAAGGATCATTTTTGTGAAAAATAAAACTTTACCAAAATAATAAGTTATAAAAATCCTAAACATTAAAAAAATCTCATTCCAGGGATTCCTTATTCCTTAACATCCGCATCAGTCGGGACTTCACTTTCAGTGACTGCCTGTAAAATCTTGTTAATCCTGCCCACCATTCGTCTGGGATCGTGCACCAAATCAGCATTCATTAGAGCATTATCGAAGAGCTGGCTGGCAACTAACCCCGCTACTTCTGGGTTGCTCTCTCTGAGAGGTGCCAGCTGTTTGATAATGGGATGAGTGGGGTTCAGTTCCAGTACCACACTGTTGTGGAGCAGGTACTTGTAGCTCGCTTCCTTCTGGTCTGGTGGGGCCATCTCCAAGTATCTGGGGTGGGGAGATTATTATGCGAATATTTCAAGTAATAAAATTACATATGTAATATACTTACCACTTAGTATTTGTGATTAATTATATTTGTATTGATTTATTATTTGTGACTTATAAATTAGTAACCATTATATTACCGTCTAACAATTTTTTGTCAAAAATTAATTTTATGAAGGAGTATGTTGTCAAAGGATGTGCATTTGTAAATTCATTTGTTGCTTGTTTATTTTGTTTTTTGTGTTTAATTTACGATTATTTGTATTTGAGATTCTGCGATTAAATTTATTTTGTTGATTGTAATGTTGTATAATTTATTGTAAATGTAATATATGTTTCAGAAAATTATGTTATGTAACGCGATGGAAGTATTTTAAGCGGGCATATCCTGTCCAAACCCAGGATACATGACATAAAATATTCGTTTTCACTTGTTTGCATGAAAAGCATTAATATACATTATGCAGCATTCACTCATGGAGTTAGGCACAAAATGACATACTTCATGAGAACAATTGAAGGACTAGATCAATACTTGCAACCTCTTGACATGCTTATCGATGAGAAATTCATACCGGCTTTATTTGGATGCCCTATTACACTGAGGCAGCGAGCAAAGCTGGATGGGTACTGAGAACTTTCTCTACCAGAGACAAAGACACGATGATGATGCTCTTCAAGACATACGTCCGCTCTATTACCGAGTATTGTTGTGCTCTCTGGTCGCCTCACCTGCAGTGTGATATAATCATGATTGAGTCGATCCAACGCTCATTCACTGCAAAAATAGCAGGGTACAAGCATCTTAGCTACTGGGAGCGCCTGAAGCAGCTTGATCTCTACTCCCTACAGCGCCGCCGCGAGAGGTACATGATCATCCTTGTCTGGAAAATTTACTACGGTGAGATTCCCAACAGTGTAAACATTTCTTTCCAACACTCTCAAAAAAGAGGAGTTACATGTCTTCGTCCTCTTGGCGGATCAAAATACAAAAGCACCAACACCATGAGGTTCCATTCTTTCCCTTCAGTGGCTTCTGCTTTGTATAACGCTGTGCCTCACGACATCAAGTCTATCCCAACCTTGCCAAAATTCAAGGCAGCACTTGATCGCTTTCTTCATACCGTCCCCGACACCCCTCCTACCCCTGGATATACAGCGGCTAACGGCAAATCAATCTTGGAATGGGCTGTGAGCAAGACATGATAACGGAGACACCGGTGGTGGAGACGCAAGATGTCTTGGCCTGGGCGTGCTGGCCCGAAACGAACCCAAGGTACCCAAGGTAGGTACACCATTAGAGAGAAGAACGGTTGCGCTACCCGTACGATGTGGGGGACTAGGCATACAAGTTTTATCAAAGTTGGCATCAGATGAGTATAAAACATCCATGGAAGTGACTAAGTCCTTAGTAAAGGCCATGGCCGGAATTGAAACGGATATAGATCATGATTCCGAGTCGCTGAAAGTAATTCTAAAAGTGAGGGCAGAAAAGCATGAATTAGAATACACGTTAATCTGCAATGAAATCAGTGATAGATCTACACGTGCAATTAATCAGGCAAGAGAAAAAGGAAGCTCAAGTTGGTTGACTGTCCTACCTCTTAAGTCTTATGGGTTCACATTGAACAAAGGGGAATTCAGGGATAGTCTACTTCTTCGATATAACAAAGACCTTCCACGATTACCTCAATCCTGTGTTTGTGGGGCCAAAATGGACATCACCATGCTCTAAACTGTCCAAGAGGAGGCTAGATCATCATCCGCCACAAATCAGTTAGCGATTTCATAGCCAAACAACTATCAACTGTTTGCAAAGACGTAGAATGTGAGCCCCACCTACAGACTTTAGACGGGGAGACTTTCTCAACAAGTACCACACTAACTTAACAGGAGACAATGCCCACCCTGACGTCCGTGCCAGGGGATTCTATCGTCCGGGACAGAACTCCTATTTCGACATAAAGTTTCTCAATCCCAATTCTGAGTCTTATCTCTCATCATCAACAGAAAAAATATACGAGTGAGCTGAGACTCAGAAGCGGAGGTTATACAACGAGAGAATTCTGAATGTCGAACATGGGAGTTTCTGTCCACTGGTGTACTCTGTCACGGGTGGCAGCGGGCCAGAAGCGAGAACATTTTGTAGGTTATTGTGTGAGAAAATATCCTATAAGACGCAACAAAATTATTCAGATGTTGTAAAATTTTTAAGATGTAAATTATCATTTATTATCAGGAAGCTGGTTCTCCTGTGTATAAGAGGAACCAGATCTTATGTCAATTCAGTTGACAAAAGTTGTGAAAGCGACTTTGAGTTCGCATGCTTTGTATCAAAGCTTAGCTAATTATGAGTCCTATGGACTCAATTAATTGTTGTTTCAAATCTGGTCGATATACATTGTTGTAAATTATATTGTTATATATTATTCTATTTGTTTTCCAAAAAAAAAAAATATACATTATACAGGGTGTACCACAGAAAGTGTGACTTTTTGAAAAATGATACAAAATATTATGAAGGAGCAGTTGCTAAAAACTCTTCATCACATTGCTGCATCGCTTTTGGTAACCCGGGGACTGGTAAATTCCATGAAAGGCAAATCTCTTGCTGCAACCGACACGGAATCGACAGATGAGCTCCAAGACATGTTAAAACAGCGTGTTTTGGAATATAAAGAACAACAAGAAGAGATACTTAAAAAGGTTGATGAGAAGACTGCAAGGGTTTTGGAGCAGATTAGCGAACCAGGGAGCTCAAATTGGCTCTCATGTTTACCACTTAGAAAACATGGTTTCGTTCTAAATAAATCTGAATTCAGGGATTCTATCAGATTGCGATACAACTTAGATCTGGATCGTTTGCCATCACAATGTCCATGCGGAAAAAAGTTTGATGTGAACCATTCTCTAAATTGCCATCTTGGTGGCTACATCATTATCAGACACAACGAAATTAGGGATTTTTTAGCTGGCTTGCTGAACACTGTTTGCTCGGACGTGGAAGTTGAACCTCAGCTTCAAGAACTAGAAGGAGAGCAGTTCAAGAGGTCCTCAACACTAACGGGTGACCAGGCAAGACCCGATATTAGAGCTCGTGGTTTCTATAGGCCGGGCCAAATGGCTTTTTTCGATGTTAAGGTAATTAATCCTAATTCTAATTCCTACCTTCAACATTCGACAAAGAAGACCATGGAGAACGCCGAGAGACAGAAAACACGATGCTACAACGAGAGAATACTTAATGTAGAGCACGGATCATTTGCTCCATTAATTTATTCAGTAACTGGTGGCATGGGACCTCAAGCCAGGACATTTGAGAAACTGCTTTGCAACAAACTTGCTTATAAGAAAAAGCAGAATTACAACGATATTATAAATTTTTATCGGTGTAAATTATCATTTTTAATTAGGAAATTAATTTTATTGTGTATTAGAGGATCAAGAAATACCTCAAACAAAACTTACGAATTATCTAACATGGATGATTTAGAATTTAACTCTTTCGAATCGAAAGTCAACTAATTTTTTCAGTCCCTTGGACTGGGTTTTATTTTTGCAATGATGATTTTCATAATATATAACCTGTAATACTATTTTGTATATATTTAATTTCGTTTTCCAAAAAAAAAAAAATTCATCACATTGTGTCAATATGTGTCGAATTTATGAATCACACTTTATGCGGTACACCCTGTTCTTATCACTTAATTGTGGGTGGCGTCGTCTTGTACTTATCACTTATATTAATTAAAATGTTCGCAACATTTTGCAGGCCAAAACGACGATAATCACTTTCTAATAATAATAATAAGAATAAGTAGTACCGTCTGAGAGTGGTAAGGTTCTCAACAGTCACGACAGCAGGTTGGGAGTGTTGACGGTCTGACATCTTCACCTCCTTTACATTCTCCCGTCCCAAGGCGTCTCTGGAGTGTAATGATGTATAAGCAGATTAGAAATGATATTTGTCATTTCATTTCAGAAAAATTCATATGATTTTTTACACGGCGCATGGAGAATAAAATAGAAAATGACTGTCGTGCCATAAAATAATATCATTCAACTTTTATTTCAAGGAATTTAATATATTTAAAAAGTTTTCATCAGGGGTTGAATGAAAGACAGTGCTACTTGAGTGCTAACCTGAACCAGGTAGCCAGCCTATTTCCCTCCTGTTTCTCCAACTTCTCGTGTCCTGGTTCCTCCGGTTTATCCACTGGTTTGACGTTAGCAGCCTCGGCGGTGCACAGCTTCCTGTCCTTGTAGTTCTCCAGCTTGAACAACACCACATCGTCCTCCTTGTTGTAGGTGAAGAGCACCTCCAGATCGTTCTGCTGGAGTGTCTCGAAGTAGGGTGACTCCATGGCCATATCTCTAGATGGAGCTGAGAGATAGTACACCTGTTTCTGCCCTTCTGGTGCCCTCTCAATATACTGGTCTAGTGAGATAATAGTGCCCTTTTCTTCCTTGCTCGACTCAAACCTGAGGAGTTTAGCCAGGTCTTCCTTCTCTGTCTGACTCTCTGTGGTGACTATCCCGATCCTAAGAAACCTCCCAAACTCTTTGTAGAATTCCTCATACTTTCCTGGATCCCTCTTAGCTTGTCTGTTGAGATAAGATATCATTTTACCAGTGATAACACTCTTTATCTTGGTGATAACAACTGATTCTTGTAGAAGTTCCCGACTAAGATTCAGAGGAATATCTTCACTGTCCACCACACCATGTAGGAACATCAGCCACTCGGGGAGGAGTTTAGGAGTCTGTGCTTGCACCATCACCTTCTTACAGTACAAACTGATCCCAAAGTTCTTTAGATTAGCAATGTCAAGTTGGGGCATGAACTGGGGAACGTAGAGGACACACTTGATACTAACCGGGGTCTCCACTGCAAACTGCATGGTGTACATGGGGTTATCCTTCCTACCCGACAAGCTCTGGTAGAGCTCCGCGTGTTCCTGATCAGGAATATCAGAGGACTTCCTAGTCCAAAGAGGCTCTATAGTGTTAACTTGTACACCATCCAGGTAGATAGGGTACCCCACAAAGTTACTGTGTTTTCTTAACACCTCCCTCACTCTGTCCTTCTTTACGAACTCCAGGGCGTCCTCCTTCAGCTGGATCACTATCCTGGTTCCTCTAGGGAGTCCTGCTGCCTCCTGGATATCGTACCCATCTTCTCCATTACTGTTCCACACGTAGCCCACTGAGCCGGGTTTGGCTGATCTTGTAAGTACTGTCACGTGACTTCCCACCATAAAGGCGGAGTAGAAACCAACACCAAACTGACCTATAATGTTGCTCGTATCACCACCATCTGCTCCTGCTGTCTTCACAAACTCTTTGGAACCTGACCTGGCTATGGTCCCCAGATTCGCTATCAGCTCCTCCTTCGTCATACCAATCCCGTTATCCTCAATAGTGAGAGAGTTGAGTGACTCACTCAGGAACACTCCACATGAAGAGTAGCTGAAGGGTCATCAATCTCCTCCCCCTTCAACTGAGTGTACCTCAACTTCTCGAGTGCATCAGCTGCGTTCGAAACCAGCTCTCTGAGGAACACTTCTCTCTCTGAGTACAGAGACCTTGCCACAATGTCCAGCAGTTGGCGGGTCTCAGCCTGAAAGCTGTGCTTCTGAGGGTTAGGTTGGGGGTCAGAGGAGGAAAGGAGAGGGGTGGTGAGGTGGTAGAGACGAGATGGGGTGGAGGTTAGGGTCTGCGAGACCAGCCGCAGGGGCAGCTTTCTGTAGAGTCTCATTGCTATAAGATAGTTAGGGTAGTCAGTATATTATATTGGCAAGAAGGAGATATATTATCACTATATCTATTGTAATCAGTATAATTTGTACAATGACAGTTAGGCTGTGGAAAGCGTCCAATATTGAGGTAAGCTAACGAAACTGCAGGAATAATTTAATAAATTAGTTTGAATTTATTGTCAATATATTATAGTAGTCAGCAATAATGTCAATAATATACAAATACATGATAAAATACATTACAGTTGATTAAAAATATAGAATTTTAGCTTTTCAGCGTGTCAGTTGTCTATCTTCATCACGTTATTACCACATTATGCTAAAAACAAATTCATACAAAACAAAAGATTATCTTAAATGCTGGTTTCCGTCAGTATCATTTTATCTAAAAACCTTGTCACAGCAAATGTAGCTAAAACAAATTGCAGTTGTGTCGCACGAATTATTGAACCTACTTAATATAAGAAGTCGGTCGGTTAAAAAATAATAATTTAATTAAGCTCATTATTTTATCTACCTACAATTGTAAACATTAAACAACTATTTTTGATAACACTGAATAAAAACCTGTCTCTCAAGTTCCCGCCAAACCAAAGGAGCAAGAACCCTTTTTTTATTTAAATAACCTAACCCAGAAAATGTCGAATATCCAGAATACCTTTTTTCTTGTTGGTCTCCTTATCCTTCTTCACTCTCAACCTGGTCATCAGTTTCTTTGTCTCTACCTTGTGACAAACTGTACAGAGAGTCCTGTAATGGTGTAATTATAAGCATCTAATAGGCTATTTAAATAACTAACTACAGTAAAACCCCGATTTACCGTGGCTATTTCCTTCCCCCAAATAGGGCTTAACATTCATGATGTGAACAAAAAACCCCGATTTACCGCAAACCCCGATTTACCGCGGTTGTTTCCTTTCCCCCAAACCCCGCGGTAAATCGCGGTTTACTGTACCTACCTAATTATCATATTCGTTAATTAATTGTAATAGTATTGATTTTATGGTGTTTGCTGTGGGAGACATTTGAAATCGACTAAACATTAAGGTAAGTAGTGTGATAGAACCGGAAATAATTTGTGCCAGCCAAGTTTCAGAAAGGTCTGTGATCAAAGTAACTTCAGTATTTTACTCTTCTTTTTCATAAAACAAAATGAATAAATTTCCATGCCCTTCATTTCAAACTGTTCGCTTCTCAAATTCAAGCTTTCTTTTGTCGCTTCCCAATTTCATGCTATCTTTCGTCACTTCAATTTTCTCACGCTATCTTTTGTTTGATTTAAACACTGTTCGCGCTGGGGTAACATTTTACTTTGTTCTAATACGTCCTATTGACACGGTCTTGAGAGTTGAGTGTATTTTAAACTAACCTAACATTATCCAACCAACATATTCATATCCTCTCAACGCTAATAAAATTTTACAAAAAATCTAAACCTATTGGTTCATTTAATGTCGAAGCTTTAACCTCAAAATTCTGAACAGATGCGTCTTTCTGGGAATTATTACGATTCACAAAATATCTATTATAATTATAATACAGATTTAAAACAGAGGTGTGGTTATGCAGACCACACTGTAACCACACATGACCACAGTTGAGTATCATTTAATACCTTATCAGATTAAGCTGAAAAACCTCAACCGCAGAATTTAAAAACACGGATATAAAAAACGGAAAAGAAAAAACTTATAATATGTTATGGGAACCGATTTGAATAGTCGTGGGTAGTGATGCTGAGGTTTAGTCACGCGATGTGGTACTGTGATCTGATTGGTCGACGATTCAAACTGATTGGCTACTCACCATCGCGTGGTAAACTAAAACACACCACTTTGTTTAAAAAGGGGCGGGAACTAACCTGAAGTTGTCGATGTCGCACTGACCGCCCCCCTCAGCTACTGGTACGATGTGGTCACCTTGCCACAACAGCCCCTCCGTTGCGTGCACCACTATGTTACGCTTCTGTTTCTCTATAGTCGGGAATAGTGTCAGAAATCTAAAATAAATCATGTTAAATGCAGGATATATGCTGAGAGAAATAACGTTTTCATGAGGATTTAATATCGCTGATTAAAAGCTGGTTCGGAGAGTTTAATCATATTAACCTGTCAGGGATTTGAGAGTTGTAGAGTTAAGAAGTTTAACCTTCTCCTCCTGAGTGCCTAGCCTCAGTTGCTTGAGCAGCCTATTAGTATCCAGCCCACATGTCTGACATACTCCAAACTCTAGGTCGAACAGGATCTTTCTTACAAAACTGTGACTGTTTGCTTTCACTCCGTACCTGACAACATTAGATGTACAAGGAAGACCCGCTATAATATCAATATCAATATTAAATGTAATTAATATTATCCGGATATTCAATAATACAATGTATGTACAATACAAATATTCAATAATTATAAATCGTAAAAAGTAAATAAATCGAATTTCACGTAATAAAGCAAATAAATTAAACTATATTAGTACCGCTGTGAACAGTCCAGCGAGCAGAATCTCCCCTGAAATGGAAGCTTCGAGAGTTCCGAGTTGGTGGAGGAGGTTACCCTGGTAACGCAACTCACTGAGGTTCTAGACTTCAGTCTTACTACCACAGACTCACAGCTTAAACACAACGGGTCACCCAACTCCGAGAATCGCTGCTCAATCTCAACCCTCTTCTTCCCAACATTCAGTTTCCTCAGCTTCACCGAATGTTCCGCTGTCTCTTCGCTGTCAACAGCTGTTTTGGGACCTTTAAAATTCCTGGTGGTAGAAAAAGCTCGATTCTCAAAAACCTTCTTGAGCTCCTCATCCAAATCAGACATGATCTTGTTATGTAGTCGAGTCTGGGTAGCCTTGCTGATCCCTGACCAGTGTCGGGCGAACTCCTGCGCAGCTTCCTTGTGGTGAGGATTGTTGGTGAGGAGCTCAGGGAGAGAAGTATCGTCCAGCAGATCCTGCAGGAGACAGTTCACTTCCAGGTATATTCCAGTGTAATCGTAGAAATATATCCTATCTGTATGTGCACTAACTGAAAACTGCAGGGTATCAACGGGTCTGTCACTGAACAAGTCTGTGTCTGAACAGTCCTCATCATCATCTTCCGTGATCATTTCCACTGCAGAAGAGTGTTCTTGGGTGTGATCTATTCCAGAATCTGAGGAGGATGTCGGCTGGCTGTCTTCATCAGCTGCTTCAGTGCTACTCTGTAATGTTTCTGGGGGAGTTTGAGGGTGATCCTTGCTTGATGACGTAGAAGATTCGTCTATAACTATTACCGGAGGCAGATCTAAATTCCTTGTTTCCTGTCTGATATCAGCAGTAGAGTTATTTGGTGGAACAAGTGATACTTTAGAATCTGTTCTACAGTTCTTTTTAATAACACACCCGACTACATTTGAATCTGTTTCTTCATCAGAGGTAGAATCAATGTCAATCACGTCCGTTCGCTCCTTTTCACCTTTCTTAAAATATTTGCTAGAACTACAAGCCTCAACCTGCAGGAGCCCCTTATCTCCAGCCCTTCCTCTCTTATTCACCCCGTCTTCACTCCGTTCTTTACCTCTCCCCCTTTTCTTAGCATTCTTCTCGAATTTAGACATCTGCAACCTGTCCCTCTTCATCTCAGCCTGACTCAGAATCTCATCTACCCTGGAGCTATTGAGATGTGTAGAGGAGCCAGTAGAGGAGCCAGTAGAGGAGCCAGTAGAGGAGCCAGTAGAGGAGACAGTAGAGGAGACAGTCGACTTAGAAGAGCCAGAGATACGGGGATCAGTAAAGTCTTCATCTATAGACATGTTGAGAAAGGGGGTCAGTTTAGTTTGTCCCGGGCAGAAGGAGAGAGAGGAAGAGGGCTTCTTTACTGGGGAGTTCTTCTTACCTTGCTGAGGGAAACATATTATGTTAGTAGCATACAAATAAGGAACATCTAATGAAAGGAAAAGTTCCCAAGGAAACATGTGGGAATTGTGCAAGTTAAAGTATGTAGTGGGAATGTGGACACAATACACATACCTGTCCATGTCGTTTAGTAGGAGATCGTTTTGTAGGAGAGTTTCCCGTACAGGCAGCTAACACAGACTTTATATCATCATTATCAGTTTCATTAGTGTTCATATCCCCTCCCTGTCCTTCAAGAGTTTTACCCACTACATCAACCTAGTGATATGGTGGGTGGTTACAAGTAGCAACCTAGTGATATGGTGGGTGGTTGCAAATAGCAACCTAGTGATATGGTGGGTGGTTACAAGTAGCAACCTAGTGATATGGTGGGTGGTTACAAGTAGCAACCTAGTGATATGGTGGGTGGTTACAAGTAGCAACCTAGTGATATGGTGGGTGGTTACAAGTAGCAACCTAGTGATATGGTGGGTGGTTACAAGTAGCAACCTAGTGATATGGTGGGTGGTTACAAGTAGCAACCTAGTGATATGGTGGGTGGTTACAAGTAGCAACCTAGTGATATGGTGGGTGGTTACAAGTAGCAACCTAGTGATATGGTGGGTGGTTACAAGTAACAACCTAGTGATATGGTGGGTGGTTACAAGTAACAACCTAGTGATATGGTGGGTGGTTACAAGTAGCAACCTAGTGATATGGTGGGTAGTTACAAGTAACAACCTAGTGATATGGTGGGTGGTTACAAGTAACAACCTAGTGATATGGTGGGTAGTTACAAGTAACAACCTAGTGATATGGTGGGTAGTTACAAGTAGCAACCTAGTGATATGGTGGGTGGTTACAAGTAGCAACCTAGTGATATGGTGGGTGGTTACAAGTAGCAACCTAGTGATATGGTGGGTGGTTACAAGTAGCAACCTAGTGATATGGTGGGTGGTTACAAGTAGCAACCTAGTGATATGGTGGGTGGTTACAAGTAACAACCTAGTGATATGGTGGGTGGTTACAAGTAACAAATTATAATATTATTACTAAAAGAGCGGAAAAGTGTTTACTAGTTGTATCTTGATAGGAGCCAACTTGTTCTGTTTCTTTGCCATGTTTACGATGTTTTAAACGATTAACATGGTAAACAAAGGTAGCCAACCCATTTCTAACCGAAAACGTACCTTTCTGTTCAGTTTTTTCCAAAGAGTTTCGTCAATGGTACCGAGACCAATCAGATAGTAAACATTGACAGCATTCTTTTGCGAAATCCTGTAAAGATTAGTGTGAATATGGGATACTACATTTACAAATCATGGTAATTATTAGTTTTTTTCAGTTCAGATGAGGAATCTATTCTTTACTCCATGTAATTATATGGGTGCCCAGTTACAAATTTTGTATGGTAATTAATTATTTTTTTCTTGACAATCAATTTTAATTCCTACCAAGTTTTATCTTTCTTTCATATTCAGCTTTATAGAAATTGAGGCAATAAAGGCACATTGTTTAAGAGTTGAAATCAAGATATTAAAACATCACACAGTTATCATCAACTTAAAACAGTTGAAATATCTTTTAGAAATATAATTAAATTGATATTATCTACAGCTACAAGACTCGACCACCATGTCTTCGTACACAGTAAGATGGAAGTGTTGTCCCACAGCAATCAGAACACTTAGAGGTTTAGTTTGGTCTGATACACAGGAAGCTCCCTGTACCTCCCCTCCGCTCTGATACAACATATTCTGAATGAGGGCGTGGTTGGTCATTGGGGTCTCCTCGTGGTCAATATGACACTCTCCCGAGCAGATGTGAGCATTAAAGTCCAGAGGGTACACCACAGAGTTGAGTCCGATCTTGTTGAAGTTTACCATCAGGTCCTGGACTCTACAGTGGGGAGATGCGGATCTTCGTTCCAAGTGGTGGGTCTCACCAAACATCTGGAGAAAGTGTCTTCTAGCGATCTTAGCTGAGGGTTGAAGGATCTCCTGGTTCTTGTAAAGGAGGGTGAGATGAGGTTTCTCTTTGAGGTTAATTATCTTGTTAATTTGCAGAGTTGAAGTAACTTCTATACCGTGGGAATTCAGCAGAGTCCGCTCAGCACTGATCACAATATCGAGGGTTTGTAGCGAGGCAACAAGCTTGTTTTTAATCTTCAGAGGCAGAGCTGTAGGTTCCCCTGATCGTGAGGAGACATTAAACTTTTGCTCTGTTCCCAAAACTGTTATCTTCAGAGTCGAGATCTCAGTGGAAGGTTTCAGGTAAACTATTAGTTCTACGTCTTTGAGAGTACCATGACGGTGACTGTCTTTAGAGAGGGTGTAGGAGACACTAATTTTATGTTTAGAAATCTTCATTGAAGTAGCTTTAGTGCTGACTATTCGGTTAGATCTTGGGTTAGGGTTATTGATCAAATCTTGAAGATGTTTAGGAACTTTAGTGTTGGTTGGAGTGGTCTTGAGAGAATGGTGGTTGAACCCGAACCCTCTCTCGAATGTTTCACTGATCTCATTGCAGGTTGTTGAGGATATCAGAGTAGTAATAGCGAGAAATAGCTGGAACATCATGATTTATATAAAGGAACAGGTAATTAAAGTTGTATACTGCAGAAAGTTAGAAACTGATAACTTTTCTAGATAGAGATTCGGGGTACTTATACAAAATTCAAATTCGTCATAACTTCATAAGATCAGAAGATGAACTGCGAAGCTAGCTCGTCTGTTTGGAGAAGCGAGCAATTATTTGGTGGTCCCAGTCTATTGGATTAATCTCAGATCAGCTGATAAGAATACGAGTCTCTCAACAAGACAACAAGAGATCACGTGAGCTTGAACGGTTTCAAATACCCTTCTGCTATCTGATCTGCAGGTAAGCAGGTTATAGTTTGCTAGATAAACCACGTGAGGAGGTGGTAACAAGAGTTGGTAATCAAGTCATGTGATCAGATAACAGGATGATCTGGTAGCTCTGTGCAGGTGAGATAGTTCAGATTGGTCTTGTGACTTGTGACCTACACGTGGTAGGATCGGGTGTGCACCCACATCCAGAAAGGCGGCAGATAATCTGATTTTGGAAGAAATTTGGTACCGAAGAGGAAAGTTTTAGAAGACCTGCGAGGAAATTCAAAACTTTCTTGATGTAGGGGTGTGTCATGTATGAGGTACATATTTAGAGGCCACGAGGGGTGTATGTTCGAAGCTAAACTTAGATCAAAGTACCTGTGTGCTCTGTCCTCAGCCTGGTGTAGGACTCCTGGAGACCAATGAAGCTCACAAAACACAACCAGAGAGGCTGCTGTAAGTGTTAAACCTACACCAGCTGCTTGGATACCTGAGGTTAAGTGAGGTTAAGTGAGGTAAAGTGAGGTAAAGTGAGGTAAAGTGAGGTAAAGTGAGGTTAAGTGAGGTTAAGTGAGGTAAAGTGAGGTAAAGTGTAATCGGATCGAATTTTTACTCATAAAAGGGCTTTTTTTGAACTTCACAACTTTAGTATTTATTCTTGAAAGTTCGACGTTTGAGCTAATACACAATTTTGTGATAATTACGTCAACTAAACTTCAAGCTGTTTACTAAACAATAGCTTGCTGAAACTTGCTGTTGATTGCTTGTTCATCACGTTTACTTTGGTGAGAAGTTGAGCGGCTCGTAAATAACTTACTTGTTGAAATTGTTGTACTATTATAAAGTACATGCTAACGCCAGCTGAATGACGTTCGCTAATCAGTACTAACTAACAGAGTTATGTAACTAATGGAGTTGTGAGACCGTTATGTAAACTATTAGAACAGCATTGTAATCACTAATTCTCGGGGTGGCCTAGTTCACAGTGCATGACATTATGTACTGTCATATAGTGACTCAGTGACTGTTCACAGTGTGTTATGTAAATTAATCGCGGTAATTTTTAAGCTATCACTTATCTATTCCAACCAAACCAGTTTTACCAGGAATCAGGATTGCTAAACCAGGTTAAAGTATCTAAAGTATTTGGTAAAAGTATGCAGTGACTTGGAGTCTCATTTAAAGGGCTTAATAGCGGTCAATATTAGTTTATATTTCACTTTTAGAGTACATATATCATAATGCAATATTAATCAGCACATTTATTATCAATCAACCAATAATAACATGTGATAATTCAAATTCAATAATAAATTGACAGGCTTGTTAACGTAAAAGATAACATACTGAGCACAGCGACCTTGCAACTCTCCGCACTCTGGAACTTCCTGACATACTCCTGCCTCAGAAGAGAACTAACACTCCCGTCTATACGAATATAATCCGTCTTACTCTCCACCAGCTCCCTCTCTATAGCGTCCAGCATTGCTAGGTGGTGGGCAAACACCAGGAACTTGCTACCCTGATATCAGTTGTTATGAGGTGAGCAATTATAGTGAGTCATTTCCTCTTTTTGCTCTTTTTATTTACAATTTGTATTGCTACAAACATGACTCTTTTAATTCAGAGCAGCAACTATCTACTATAGATAAGAAGGAGAGAGAGAGAGAGAGAGAGAGAGAGAGAGAGAGAGAGAGAAGAAGGAACTCTCTCCAACTAAACCTGTTTTAACATCTCCTTGATGTACTCCACACAGGCTGGTATCTTAGCCAGTCCAGTCTGGTGATACAACTCCATCACTGCACTCCGCACCTCATAATCATTCCCTCCAGCCTTCACCTCCTCCAACCTGGCGGGTAACAGTAAATCTCAGATATTTAATTAAGTAGCTTCCTAAGATGTTAGATATTAAAATATCATCAAGATTTCTACTAGGAAGGTAAGATTTTTTATTCCATAAATTCCAATGCGTGATTTATCACGGGGGATGTGTTCAGCAAGGCTGGGGAGTGTACTTGTTGTCAGGTGTCAGACAGAATAACCCCACCCCCTCAGTGACCAACTCTATAAATACTCTAATTCCACCCCCTCAGTGACCAACTCTATAAATACTCTAATTCCACGCACCTCAACTTCACCTTCTCCACCTCTCGTACAGCACTAGCTGGTAAATCAAAAGATATCTTCTGACGCTGTTTAGCAGGTAGTTGAGTGAGAACTTTACTCTTCAGTCGCCGTATCATCACGTGATTAGTGAGAAGAAGGTGTAGTTCCTCCAGGTTAGACGCTCCGCTTACGTCAAACCGCTTTAGTCTGTAGTTGTAGTGTCCTGGGAGACAAGGTGTTAGGGGACAAGGTGTTAGGGAGACAAGGTGTTAGGGGACAAGGTGTTAGGGAGACAAGGTGGTAGGGAGACAAGGTGTTAGGGAGACAAGGTGTTAAGGAGACAAGGTGTTAGGGAGACAAGGTGTTAGGGAGACAAGGTGTTAGGGGACAAGGTGTTAGGGAGACAAGGTGTTAGGGGACAAGGTGTTAGGGAGTAGGGAGACAAGGTGTTAGGGAGACAAGGTGTTAGGGAGAGAAGGTGTTAAGGAGACAAGGTGTTAGGGAGACAAGGTGTTAGGGAGACAAGGTGTTAGGGGACAAGGTGTTAGGGAGACAAGGTGTTACGATTGGTAGGTTTGTGTTCCGTCATGAGAATACAGCTCTCTGATTGGTTAGTTTGTGTCTCGTGACTAGAATACAGCTCTCTGATTGGTTGGTTCGTTTCTTTTGTAAGCTTGTGTCAATTGATTAATTCTAATTTTGAAAGAGAGATTCAGCATTATAGCTTGAGCATGTTTTGAATTTTCATTGAAATCGTGGGCAAGACAAAAACAAATAACTAGAACTTATGAAGACTAAACATTATGTTAACCTAATTTTTGGTTAAACAAATTATTTGAGGTTTAGGTATTCCAGTAGTGAGTATAGATACCGTCTAGGCCCAGTCTGTTATAGTTGTAACGTCCTAAAAGTTCAATCAGAGAGTTGCAATTGGTAATTCTATTAGTGGGGAAGTTATATAAAGTTAATTAAATTTTCTTGTAAATGATGTTAAGTTTAGGGCATTATAGGCTTAAATTCATGGTTAAATCCCGAATTTGTTTAGTAATTAAAAACAATAGTGTGGTCGAAACCAGGGGGTAATAAAGATTGAGATAAAGAGAGGTCGAAAGGTTGGCAGCCTCTGCCGTGATCTGATTGGTTAGTTTGTGTCACGTGACTAGAATACAGCTATCTGATTGGACAAAAAGTTGGCAGTCTCTGCGGTGACATGTTCCCTACAATTCGCCACAATTAAATTTGAATATCCATCACCATGCCGTTTAATTACAAATTGACCAAATATTTACCAAATATAAAACTTACAAACCAATGGAAACCACATAGTGGTCAAAATTGATCGAAATGGTCATTTCAAATTTTACGGAGCGGTTGATTCGAATAGTAAAATATGAGATTTACCTTGGCAATATTTCTCGCAGAATCTGGTATACGAGCCAAAGTAACCAGGTTTAATGCTGTTTATCTGGGTGTACAACTGAAATAGACTGAGTTAGGAACATGTTTTATTTTCTGACTTGTATTAATCAGAATAAGCTGTTAATTTTTGCTTTTTCAGATATCATATACAAATCCCGGATAGATACACCTTTTGTGATATGATCAGGGAATAAACCGACGTCTTGATTCATATTGAAATTATAAGAATACGTATTAACAGATTTATATCCATTTAAAAGCCCAATACAACTGCAATTTAATGGATACTCCCATTCCAGGACGCTTTGTTATTGGACAATTGGTATGACTCGGGGCTTATGATTGGAGATGCCTACACACATCCTGATTTTAAATTCCCAACATTTCCAGTACGTCAACAACTGAGAAGGAAGGAAGAATCTGACACTATGACGTGTATATAAGCTGTTTCATGGTAAGAACCACGTAGAAAGTCAGGTAAAGTTTAAAAGTTTACAATTCTTACAACATGTAATGTTGCAATAGGTACAGGTCGCAGGGTATACTAGTAGGACAAGTGGTTGACAGGGTGATACTTTCTGGTATTGTTTATTTCCGGCATCCTATATAACATAATTAGATCTTCTGATACATAACGTACTGCTAGTTTACTTTTATATTTACCCATCATCATATTTATAACAATTATTATTTTGTTCCAATTGAGCAGGATAAAGCGTTAGAATGCAGGCTCCGCACCGAGTCTAAACCTGGGACCAGAGAAGGAGAAAACACGAGACTTTAGCTTTTCCAAACGTGATACGGTGAGTCATGGTTAATTTCATCTCAATTTGTATTGATTCATCTTAAGTAGAAATAGTAATAGACCCCATAAATGGAATCTCATGCAGTCCACGTGATAGCTAACACGTTTTTTTCCACCTCAGGTCTTCCCAACCAACTCACCAAGGAATGAGAAGTATTTTCTTTAAACCACGCCCCAATATTCTCCTTCTTTTCTCCGTTCTCACGTTATCCAACTAAATTTTATCAATCTTTCCATACACAGGATGGTGGTGTGAGCGGTGCTTTTTTCTATAAAAACTTGATTTACTCAATGACTAAAGTTCGGTAAAATGACTCCAGATCGACGACGATAAGCGCTCTTAAAAATTCACCTAGAAATAACTTTCTCCGACCTAATTTCCTCGATAATTGTAACTTAAACTGTTATTAACAAACAGTTTAAGTATTGAGATAACAGTGTTAAAGCACTGTTAAAGTAACGCAGTAAGTTCTTAACTGACGTCTCTTCGGTAAAACTTAAACTAAAATGTCTGATTTCTAGGTTTAATCCCTTTAACCCAATTTAATTTCCCCCGCCAGCAACAAAAAGAATCCAGGAACACTTCAGTTAAACTAACGTACTATATAATTATACTAGGGAACTCGGTAATCTGTCGATGGACACATAACGCACGGTTAACACACACATAACGCACGGTTAAAATGTGGTTCTATACAGCATGTACTAAATCAGTAGTCAATGACTAGACAGGGTTATTGAAAATTACAAAGAATAAAATGGCGTATGGACTTGGGACCAGCTCATAGTAAATTTCATTAATGCCCTCTGAAAACCATTCTGCTAGCTCAAATTATTTGTTATATAGTAGACAGTAGTGTTGAAAGTATTAAATATTTACATATTGAAAGTATGTACTAAAGTAATGACCTCCTCAGGGCGAGCTAGTGCAGGTGTACCAGTGAGGAGTATCCTCCTTCTAGCGCCCTGTAGTAACTTTACCAGGTGTTTCGTGCGGAGACTCTTCCAGTTCTGCGGAGTAACCGTTAATAACAGAGGAGGGGGTTGATGGGATATCACTATTCAGCAGTATGATATGTGTCTATTAACTATCATTTATCAAGCTAATAAGTCAATATATTATTAATTATAAAGTTTATTTTTAAATACTGACGTACCTTTAGAAAGTGAGACTCGTCGCAGATAATAACTTTAAAGGTAATGTCCAGGTTCTCTTCACCTGGTTACCTGGTTACCTGGTTACCTGGTTACCTGGTTACCTGGTTACTACTGACGTACCTTGAGATAGTGAGACTCGTCGCAGATAATAACTTTAAAGGTAATGTCCAGGTTCTCTTTACCTGGCTACTACTGACGTACCTTGAGATAGTGAGACTCGTCGCAGATAATAACTTTAAAGGTAATGTCCAGGTTCTCTTTACCTGGTTACCTGGTTACCTCGTTACCTGGTAACTGGTTACCTGGTTACTACTGACGTACCTTGAGATAGTGAGACTCGTCGCAGATAATAACTTTAAAGGTAATGTCCAGATTCTCTAGGAGACCGAAGAACCGTTTATACTGGAACAATCCGTACGAAACGATGGAGATCTTACACCGAACTAAGTCCCTGAAAAAACGGGACATTTATTGTAAAAACTTCAGTTAGGGACTTATAGTTCTTGCTAAGAATATATCAAATACTTATTACACAATTTACTAAAAATTGAAAAATTAAACTAATTAACCTCCTAATAAACCTATTTATAAACTAAATAAGAATATACTAACGGAACATCCTCCGCACACTTGACAAGATGTATTTCGTCAGGGGTGAGGTGCGGTAACCACCTCTGTATCTCGTCTAACCATACGTACTTCATACTGGACGGTACCACCACCAACATCGGCCACTCTGACTCGTAGATCGCTCCTATACCTGCGAAGGATAATTAGTTAATTAATTAGTTAATTGGTTAATGATGTTGATTTCTCTGATATTAAATTGTTAGTCCTGATATATGCTATTTTACTGAGTGATAGAAAATAAACTACCGCTGTTATTGATAATAATACAACAACATTGATCGTGTATTTAAACACTGTCACCAGTGTTTGAAGCAACTCATTTGTTTTACAGTTTTTATCTGTTTATGACCGAATTTCTGTCGATTTATTGCATCCACATAGCTACAGTTACTGTTTTTATCTGTTTATGTTTGCTTGTTTGTTTGTTTATAGAACCCGTCCCTAATCTCGTATTGGAAAATGACTAAACTCAACACTCAGTGTGAATACGGGAGGTACCTGCAAGTGTATTCATTAAGCATTTAGAGCTCTGTAAAATTGCAGTTACAATTGTGCTAGAGTATTTTTAGTATTTACGATCGATATCAGTTCTCGATCACTATAGCTACATACTCCCAAAATTTAAATCTCCAACTTTCTGCCCAATGTGCAAAAAAAAGTTTTCTTTTCAGTTCTCGATCACTATAGCTACATACTCCCAAAATTTAAATCTCCAACTTTCTGCCCAATGTGCAAAAAAAAAGTTTAAAAAAAGAAAAGTGATAAAGAAATAAAATCAACGATTTAATTTTAGGAAATTTTAGGCAATTTTAGGAAATTTCATCTGTTTATGACCGAATGGCTGCCAGACTTTGGGGCCGAAGTGATATGATCCACCATATACGTCATCAAGTAATTAACATGCAAGCTTGAAGCTTGTGGCGTATAATTAGTGATGTGATCCATGGATTGAATATAATTGACCTAGAAATGGGCTAGATCTGGGGTAAAGTTCATATGACAACTCTGCACACAGAAGCTACAAATTAAGAAGTGAACATGTTTTAAATTGAGACAATGTATTGGCTGGTTATAAAATGTTATGATTCTCACATCTCGGTCAGTCTTCCCATCAAAGAGGATAAATGGTTCGTCTCTTCTCGTAGATGTGCAGCTGGGAGGAAGAACGAATTCAAGAGAAGTCTTCGACTCGGTATGTTGGGCAGATCCGGAGGCAGAAGCTCTGGCTCGTTGGACGACTTTTCCAAGGGATTCCATATTAGGTAGCGTCTGGTTTACTTCTGTTGAAGCATCAGCAAGGACTTCTGATATCAGGTTCTGAGTCGCCGACAGGGGTTGTTCTGCAGCCTTCCTCTTGAGCGTTGTAAGGAGTTCGAGTCTCTGTGGGGTAGCCAGATCTGAATCGTGGTTGTGTGGTTTACTTCCAAGGGAAAGATTGTTGTCTGTGAGAGCGAGATAGCACTTGGCAGGACATTTAAGGGATTTGTTCTTCTGGCAACGCCAAGCAGAGGAGAGGACGGTGTCATCATTTTTCTTGCGGCTGTAGATATATCCGTCAGAATCAAGCACCTGTTTACATCCTCTGAAACCGTTGAGGAACTTGGAGAAGGTAGGCATGACTGTTGATAGAATTAAATGCGATACTACTACCTTCTATCACCCAATATTTATACCTAGAACACTAGATCGGCTCACTCCCCTTGCAAGCCTTTGACACGTACGTCTCACATCCCTTGATACGAGAACCCCCCTTTAGCAAGAGCTCCCGTCCCTTATGTGATCTACGAGTCGAGCAGTCAGATCATGTTTACTTCTTAATGAACAGCTATGTTGTACAGAATTGACATGTGAACTCTACCCAGTATCTAGCCTATTTCTGGGCCAATTAAATTCTACAGATGGATCACATCACTAATTATACGTCACTAATTGGTGACGTGATCTGACTCCTCTTTGGGGGCCGGATCAGTTTTCGGCCCCAAAGTCTCCCAGTGGACCGAATAGTCAATTTCTGTCGATTTATTGCATCCACATTGCTACAGTTTCGTGGCTATTTTCATAAATCGTTTTCTAAACCTCCCCCGCGAAAACTATTTTATTGTACTTGCCCAGAGGGCATCTTGTCGATTAGTAAAAATTTGGGGGAGTCCAGGTATACGGTCATCGCCATTTTCTCTTTGGCGAAAATTCATTTGGCTAATTCCCAAACTCACTTCTTAACTGCAAATTATCGTAATTTCATTCATCAGCTAGATTCGGCTATCAGGTAAGAATTATTGACATCATACACTTACCGTATACACAGATCACTGACCTTTTAAAATAAACTTGCAGATGCACGAGAAAATGACCTCTAATTAGAAGAGCCGCTGAGATACATTTTGTTTTAACAGATTTAAATCCTAATTGTTTGAACTTGATAATCGATTTGCACATCATTACCCCAAAATAATGGGACCCGATAATATACAAATTAAGACACTGTAAGGTGATGTAATGAATTTATTTGTTGTAATTTTCTCTTACTGTAAGCTAAGTTTAAACAAGATTTCATCTCAGATTTCCAGAGTTTCGTTGCATTTGGTTTTATTCTTATTGATGATTTCATATGAGAGTTTAATTGATTTCTCAGAGAATCACATGGTCGGCTCTGTGGCCATTCATAAAGCCATAATTCGTCGTCACTGAAGTGTCAAAAATAAATATTGTAATATTAAATTTAGGTCATAAATATTTTTGATACCTAGACAAGAACAACTAGAAAGAGAAGAAGCCTGAAATAAGATTTTGGGATAAAACTAAAAGTTAAAACGAGTTGGGCTGACAATTACAAAGAGGGGCCCGCTGGATTCCACCCCGAAAGTCTGCACCTATTCGTCATTAGGTGGAGGGCGCATATTTTCAGAACCTAACCCATCAAATGTCTGTTAAAATCCCATCATTCAATCTTTTTAACTAATATAGAAATTTAAATAAATAATTTCATATGCATCTGAGCTCAAAACATACGTTTCTGTTACTACAAACTATCGTATTATTACTATGCTTCAAGAACCCACCTCTATGTTTCAAGAACCCACCTCCAGTCATATAAAGCCTTACTGTGAGTCACAGTTTAGAGTTAAGTTTAGAGTTTAGAGTTTAGAGTTAGGAGAGTGCGGTAGATGTTTGAAATTCATGCCACCCCGCATCTTTATTATGCACCGTGCCAAATACAAACTGATATCATGGCGTCCACTTACTAGTTGAGCTATTGGGAGGGGGGGGGGGGGACCAATTATATTAAAGTGTATTAAAATGTATGTTTTTTCCCCAATTTTTACCCAATTTTTACCCGGGGATATACTTTAAGGTTATCAGAATGGCTAGAGACAGTGTGCTGTTTGCTGAACGATTATTGTGGTCCATTGTTACAATCTGCCACAGAAACAGCTGACGACAACAGGGTGTTCAGGAAAGAAAAAATAGAAGATGCGACTAAGATCATAGAACTACAAGAGAAGTTACTCTCTAAGCAAGAAGAAGATATGGCAAAAATCAGTGATCTGCAGGAGAAGTTAGCCTTGAAGAAGGATGACGAGATTGGAACTGTGAAAAGTGCAGCTCAGAAAGAGATTAAGACCTTTTCGTCTCTGTTGAAAAACACGTGCAAAAACGCCTTTGCACCGAAGAAAATCCAAGCTGCAGTGAAAAGGGTTGCCCTAGAAGAAGATCGAAGTAAAAGTCTGATTATCTTTGGGATTCCAGAGACTGAGGAGAACCTGGATGCTAAGGTATCTGGTATTTTGTTGGACCATCTCAACGAAAAACCAAAAATTTTGAGATGTAATAGAGTTGGAAAGGACACCAGTGAACGAGTCAGACCAGTTAAATTCACTTTGTCAAGCTCAGATCAAGCTCGTACCATCTTGAGCAAGACTAAGTTATTAAGACATGTAGAGGGGTTTAGTTTTGTTTACATTACTCCTGATAGATCAGCTGCAGACAGAATAGCCTACAAGAATGTTGTCGTCCAGCTACTCAATAAAAGGACAGCAGAGCCGGACAAAGTTCACGTAATCAGGAACTTTAGAGTCATTAGCTCGGAGAAGGAGCCTTGAGAGTTTTATATTTTCTATAAGTACAATATTATATGTTTTGATTCATTGATTAATTAATTGTTGCTAGGGCCCAATGTTATTGCGGGTGTGGTATTACTGCACACTACCGTGTTTTGGTTACCCCTCTTTCAATACATAATTTGGGTTTCGATATTCTGGGAAAGTGAAAATTAGGGCTATATCGGTTTTTTCCTTTTATAACTGGGTTTATTTAGAAGCATTCAATTCTGTATAATTATGTATTGTTTGAAAAGTTTTAGATAAAAAAATATACTTTAATATACTTTAATATACTTTATAGACTTTAATATACTTTAATATACTTTAATATACCTATATTATCTCGATCTTAATTTCTTTAAAGGCCAATAATGTATAGATTAGATTTACCTTTCATGTAAAGTTAGTCTTGTTCGAAGATATTGATACTTGACCAATTTATGGGCCAAAATATATTAAATATGGTTTTTGGTTCATAATTAAGCCATTTTAGTCCATTCTCGATGAAAATTCAAATACAAGCAGAGCATCTTAAATCGGGGTCTTGGGCATTTTTAGATGGTTCTGCATAATTGGGCCAAAAAGGGACCAGATATGGGCGCGGCTGCTCTGCACGATTGGGGAATGTTTTGTGGAATATCCAGCTAGCTACAGACCGCTTATTTTTTAGATTTTCTCAAAGAGAGGCTGGGCCTGGATGGCCCACGAGAGGATAGAAAGATGAACTAAGACAACATGTGAGTAGTCGCTAAATGTCACACCGGTCTGGTCCAGGTCCTCGGGCACAATTAGGCATTTGGTGCGGGTTGCGAAATTGACAATAGTGGTGATATGCTAGTTGTCAAATATTTCATTGACTGAGAGGTCCTGGAAACATTGCCCTCTTATTTGGGCAATAGTCGGGCACTGTCCAAGACGTGTTTGCAGCCGAGTGTCATTTTGGTGTGTTTGGTACCAATTTAACCATCAGTTCCCTGATTCTGTCTGGTGACTTAGTCGTTGATTAGGCGTCTGATGTAAGATTGTGAAA